CAGAGTTGGTTCATATCTAGCACCTAAACCAGTCCATCTATTTTGTGCTGAGCCCCAGGGTCACCATCTGCCTGTAAACACACAAGATCAGCCTAGTATTAGATAAACACTGTGGATGCACATGAGCATATTCTGGTGAATACTCATGTGCTGGGGTTACAACATTCTCTCTTTTAGACCATCTATAAATTCCTGGGGATGCACAGTGGGACTTCATGTTTTGTACATCAGCTACCATACTGATGGGGGTTAGAAAATAGCAGCAGCAGTAGAATAAAATCAACTGAGTGACATTTAAAAATCATTGCAAAGGAATGTTCTCAGTGCTGATGTCTTGTTTGTTACAAGCTGCAGTGTCAGGGCAGAGAGACCTTATAAAGCAGCAGAGAAGGGGGGATGCTCAAGGAAGCTGTGGCTGTCTGGTCACTTTGCTGAGCTTTTTAAGACCAGCAGCAGAATCTTGAAATCTCGTTTTCCAACTTCAGTGGAAAAATACATGTTGACTATGCTCTTTTCTCAGGAATTGCACCACAGTATGAAATACTTCTAAGTGGCAAACTGCACAAGGGAAAAAGTGCATTTCCTTTGCCACATGTCTTGTTTTGAAACCTCAGAGATTTTGTAACTCTGGCTTTGCAAAAGCACAATCCATTTGACCAGCTCGTGAAGAACTGGGATACAAATTGGGATAATCAGCCTGATTTCCCCTATCCCAGTGCCTTGAGAGAAAATGTAATTTACTAACGTTTTATAATCATTTTGTTTGAATATTAAAATATGCAAAAGCACTTGAAGAGCCGAGCCTGTAGTTCCAGTTCTTATATTGTACCTAAGTAAATCAGGACTAGTTCAATTAAATTTCTGGGCCCATTTTTTAATACGAAATAGATGTGTTATTTCCCTCTGATGTTTCTACACCATGTCGGGGCAGAACAGAGGGCACTTGACTTGTTTTGATGTAAAAATTAGCAAAACCAAAGACAGGATCAGATTTGCTGACTAAATATATCTACAGAGGAAAAAAACTGGCACCTGATCCAAGAGGAAGTAATGAATGCATAGCTAATGCAGGGTGATAATTGAGTACACCCACAGAAATGACTGCAAAGTGAATCTTATGAAAAAACGTAATTCTGATCCCAGGGATTTTCATTAAAATCAACTTGAAAAGAATGTCTAACGATTTGGTACTGATATTACCTCAATTAGTGGAAAGTGTAAGAAACAAAAGGAATGAAACACTTTTAATCTCGAAAAAGGAGAACTTCCTGGGGTGTGGGGAAGAAGTGTACATGCTGGAACCATGATAAGGCTTCCCTGTGATGAGTAATGAGTTAGTGAACCCTTTTCAAGTGCAACACTTTTCTTTTTGAAGCTAATGTTTGCCTTGTAGTAACAGGGTTTCACAGTCACTACAAAGTGCTTGTTCATTTCCATTGCTGGGCATATGCTACAGCCACAGTCAGTGCACCGAAATGAATAGGTGCACCAAAATGAATAGACAACCTTTCAGTTGCCTTTTTAAAGTGGGATCTATAATGATAAATGACTTTTGGGGCTTTGCTCAGCACAGGGGACTGACAGAAGGCTGCTAGAGTTGCTTTTCCCTGGCACTGCCATTTATAATCTAGCTTTCACTCACTGGTGCCTGAGAATTATTCTGATTTTACCCGAACTCAGACAAGAGTCTGGAGATGAAATTCCACGTGATTACAGCTGGTTGAATTATCATTTGTTCTGATCATCCCTTCTTTTTCCAACATTTTTTTCTGCAGCTCTACATAAACTAAGGCTTCATACACGAGTTCTAGGCAAAAGGCGAAAATATGCCCTGCAAACATCTGTTATACTATTGCAAATAGATCTAGAAAATAATTCTTCTGGAGCTTTTACTGTATTTCATTCAGTCTATAATTAAAGCACCCAGTCTATAAATACAGATAAAATCAGAAGAACTAATCAAGAGCTTGCAGACGTCAACTTATCACTTTTGTTACTGAAGGTACTAACTACAGTTAGTAGTGATCCATTTCCTAACCTTTTTGAAGGTTTTTTGAAAGCAAAAGGGGGATTTGCTTTCATCAAATACTACTGTCCTAAACTGGGAAACCATTGCAAAGGTACTTGCAGTTTCTCTGTTGTGGTCTTGATGGTAAATAAGATATTCAGCTGTCCTTGAAGGAGGTGAGAGCTCTCAATATGCCAGAGAACACATACCAACAACAGAGTAACAGAACAAGAGCAAATGGAACCACATGTGTAGGATATTCTAACACTCAAGAAACAGGAAGTAGATAAATGGGGATTGATCCTATAGCTTATGCTGAGAAATCTCATTTTACTATTCAGCTGGAGAGAAAAAAATAATCCAGATAACAGATAACATCTTTCCTGTTCAACAAGCAGTAGCACACATAGGTTTGCTTCACAGTATTAGCACCTCGTTGGCTGAAAGCTGTGAATTGCTAAAATCTGTCTTGAAACACAAGTTATCAAATATATTAATATGGTCCTAGAGAGACATGGGCAATGTGTAGTACATAGCTGCTTCCAGCATTTTTTGAGGTATCATCTGGGGAAAAAACAAAAGTAATTTAGCATTGTGATGAACAGGTATAAAATAGAAGGGATGTGAAAAAGCAAGGGCAGGACTATGAGAAGATGAATTCTCACAAATCTGGCATTCTGTGATAAACACCCTGTACTCTACAGCAAAGTGTTAAACTTTGGAAAACTCGTGGTATGAAAAAACAGAAAGGTAACTCCTACCTTAACTGAGATAAAGACAGTTGTGAATTTGAATTTCCCATAGTTAATATTTATATTACTAAAGGTAGTGATTATTACTATGTTTCAATTTAACATTAATTTAAATAGATAAAATGTTTACTTTGCATTCTGTAATCCTGAGCTACAACCAAAATTTGCTTTTCTAATTCTGCAGACAGAATCCACCCACTTTTACTAAATGAGTGTGTTCCAGAGCCTAAGCTTCTACTGAAAAAAATTTTCTAGTCCTTGTGGTTGCAAAGCTAACTCTCAAAACATGAACTGCCTGTAAGCAGAGAAGTCTGCTCAAGATGAAGAGGGCCTGGTAGAACAGGTCTGCAAGAATGTAAACTCTAGAAATAACAATTTTGATTTAATCATATTCCATATTGTTTGGTTTCAACCATAAAATATTAAAAACGTGATTCACAGGCTGTGTTCATCATTGAAAAAACACAACTGATTTTTGCATGCATCAGTCCTCCAGCACTTTTGTGCAGATGAAAGTATGGTTCCTTGTTCTCTCCTTTCCATATTGCATTCTTGCCCAGGGGCAGCAACTGTACCACATTGCGCTAACTATTTATTGGAATGGTTGTTGTGCCATCAGTTTACCTCCATCTGATTCACTTGAAAATAAAATTGTTGTGAAGCTTAAATCAGTTTTAGTTCCACAAACAGTCCCAAGTCTGGATTCAACAGTCTTCAACAATTCAGCAAAATCATGTTTTATAAGCTTTGGATAAGCTTGGGTTTTGCTTATAATTGTTATTCATTAGTGTATCATTTGCTGTGTTTCTCTGAAGCAAATAAAAATATCTTCAAATTTGACAGTACCATCAAAATATTCTGTGTCCTACCCTTCATTCAGAAAGGTTTAATGTAAATTCAATGACTGCATGGTATAAATAGTCAGTCATCCAGTAAGTCAATTATTATTTATTGCTGCCTTTAAAAATGTGCCCCTGGCTATATAGGGGATACAACATCCACTAGGATGTTGATGAAAAGTTGATGTGTCCGACTTTGATGTTGTCAAAGTTGTGTATCTGGCTCAAACATTTAATATTTTCATTTCAAATCTTATGCTTTCTATTCACAACCATTTTAATAGAAGTTGGTAAGATTATAAGAACTGTTGTGCCACATAACACAAGGAATTCATCTGACCTCTTATCCTGTATCTTACTCCTGAGAAAGGCTCAGACTTAGGGAAGATGAAAAAAATGGTAGTGCAAGACTGAGAAGGTTTAGTGACTTTGTTTTTCAAAAGAACTATTTACAGTGGCTGAAACAACCCTTACATGAGTGGAAATAGCTAAATTAGGGCTCAGTACTTTGTGTGGACTCAATAATTTTTCATTTATTACACTTACTTACATTGATTGTAATCTGCCAGTTTACTGTCAGCACCAGTAAAGGGAGATCTTCTGTGACTCTGCAGCCAGTTGTAGATTTGACTGTCCTGAATAATTTTTTATCCTGTATTTTGCATGTGTACGTGCTATCAAAGCCTTGTTCAAAGACATGGTCAAAGTTTTAATAGTTATAACTAGAAATACTATTTATATGCTAATTCTTCACAACTATGCACATGAATCACTGTACTCATCTTTGTTATGTAAATGCTTCCTTAGAAATATTAATCTAAACCCCAGCCACTCAGTCACATCTTTCCAATGGATGCCTTTCTGTTGCCTTGAAGTACAGCCCACATGTAGGCATGATGCTAGTCCTCCAAAACATAATATGGAAGAAATTATGTATGCACAATATTTTCTTCACACTTTAAGAATCTGGCAGTGAATAGCCATGAGCTACACAGTGGTACATTTACAATGAAAAGAATCTGCTTGCGTGCAGCATCAGAGTTTGGCTCTGAGGGATTTCCTTATGAACACTGAGTTTTCACTGCTTGGATCTGGGACACTGTAATTGCAACCATGTATGACAGGGTTGAGTTGGTTTTTCATCATTCAGTACTGGTGGATGATGCACAATAATAAAAAAAAAGCCTTTTAACAATGCAAGGTCAACACTGAAGTTTAAAGTTTCACCCTCTGTGCTTCTATAGTAGCAGTTACTTCCCAGATTCAGTGGATGCTAAGGATATGCTTAAGGCATGGAGGATTCAAGGTTGCAATGGCTGTGTCTAAGAAAATAACTACAAATGCGACATACTTCCTAGGTTACTGCTTAAATATTCTGATTATTTCATATCTTCTCTTTAGCTCCTTGCTCAGAAGTGGCCTTTTGGAGATACGGATTTTGGACAGTTTCTTTGCAAATTCCTTCCCTTTATCCAGAAGGCGTCAGTGGGAATCACAGTCCTTAACCTCTGTGCCCTTAGTGTGGACAGGTACAGTATGTTTGAATCATTTGATACTGTTCTTGCCCTTGCAGTTTTCCTAAAACTGGGAGCACTCAGTATGGTCTTCTCAGCAGGCAGATTACAGTATAGATGCAATTTAGATTCTGGTTTTTGATATCTTCGCTATAACAAAGCACCACATCTGTGGCTCAAAGTATAATATTAAGTCATTGGACTAATGAACTTTACATGTTTTTTAAAGGTATTTAAAAGCTCTAGTAAAGCATTATTTCAACTTCCTTTACCAGACAAAAATTTTTTGGGATTTGACTCAGTATTCAGACTTCTTTCTTTCATATGAACTCATGTTTGTTTTGTATTGGAATAAGATCGTAATCTTCAGTCTTAAAAATTATTTTTTCAGCTCCCTGCCTATAGACCACAATTACAGTATTTATTTTGATAACTTTTATAACTAATTGTGTTGTACTGAAAAACAAGTTGGAAACTTGCTTTGATAGATTGACATTGATAGTTTGAAAATTAATGCCTCTGCTATTTTTTCTTCATACATACAATGCAATAGCAGATGAATACTTGAGTTCTGTAAAAGCTATTTTTATTGGTCTTAAGTTTACTTGATCAAGTTCTACTCCAAAATATCAGTAACTCTGATACAGAAAATACTGTAAAAAAAAATGCACTATGTGTATTAGTACCGTGATGCAAAGTTAAAAGAAACTAATTAATTTTGGTTAATTTTAAAGGTAATGTACAAGGTTTGCAACGGACGAGTCACTAACTAGTATCCATACCTGAAATACAATTCCTTACTGTATTAGTACCTCATTAGCCAAAGCCAGAAACAAAAAAATGTAACACAGGCAACGGTTCTATTTCCACTTTTGAGTCTGCAAACTATAAAAAGAATTCTGTTTTTCAAACAATATCTGCCCACCATAAAATAAAATCCCATGGACTACTCTAAGGAATAAATCATAGATCAAACACATGAAACAGACTGTTTGTTAGATAAATTCTGACAAGTGCAGTTTTTTCAGCAGATGAAGTTTTACTGGTATATACATATACATAAATTGGAAGTAACTCAGCTGATGCTGCCTCTGTGTATATGCATATATATACTTTTACAAGAAGTGATTTGCTAATCCTCACAACAAGCAAATGTTGTTTCCGTTTGATTATAAAGTCTTGTGTGGGATCAGATTTAAACTATTTAATTTCCTCCCCCAGCTTACATGCTTTGCCAAGGACATTTTCTTTATCATCTGGTACTACTCTAGTAAATGGTTGCAGAGGATGTGTTAGAAAACAGACAGATTCTGATACTGCCTAGCATGAATTGAAAATAAGTTAAATCACCATGAAATCTGAGAGCACCTTCAAAAAGTCAGACTGGGCACTGGAAGTGGCATAGTCACATCAGTACAAAATTTCACATTAGCAAATGGTTGCTTTTTAGAATGGAAAATGAGTAAATAATGGGAATGAAATAAAATTTCCTTTAAATGGAAAATGACTGTGCTGTCACAGCTGGACTGTATCTGATCTACAGGCAACTTAACATTTGCTTAAAAAAGCTCTTGAAAATATGTATTTATAATTATTTTGGGTGTCTATATATGGAATTGCATTCTATGATGCAGAAAAAGATGGAGTCAATTGGTATAATGAATTCAGAGCTCCATAGCTTCGATAATTGTTGACTGTCTGTCCCTCTTGCAGACTACAACCTTAATTCAGATCAGGATTATTTTTTTCCTACAAAGACAGTTCTCTGTTTTAACTACATCCGATTTGGAGACCCCACTTATTACTACTGCCCTTCAAACAAAGTGACTTGGCCTGACAGGGTATGAAGGTTTAACTGTGCATGCCCAAGGGGAACAATGTCCACTCACACGTGGAGAGGTTTTTAAGAGGCTGTTTTTTAAAAACCAGCCATTCACCCTTCAGAGGAAGTTCCCATTTGCTTCAGATGCCTCTCAGGCGTTTTTAAACTCTAGATCATGGTGGTGACAACAGTGTGACTGTTTATCTAAACAGTGCCTGACTGTGACTAAAACTAAGGATATTTTCCTTCTTGAGCTTTTACTCTTGCCTATGTCATAAGCATAATAGTTTTGATGAAGAAATTAGTTTAAGAAGAGTGAAGATATGGATCTCATTTAATGTGTATGTACCCTCTTTTTGCCTCCTCTGCATGGCAAATTCCATAGAACAGTAATCCCAGGGTAGATACTTTCATCTAGACCAACTTCCAGCAAGTGTATGAGATAAGTGAAGATTTTACCACTAAAACAAAACTATAAGAGTTTTATTGAATTAAGAGCTTTGCAATCAACACACTACTGCTTATCTTTAAAATGAAGAACAGCTGTGATCCCTAACAATAAAGTGGAACAGTTTGGTACCATCAAGACTAGTGCCATTTAGGAATATTTCTGACACTAATCTTGGCAGTGACTGCTTCTTAGATCCTTTATCTAGTCTCTGATCTTCCCTGCATGGTTTTTCACTCTTACTGCCTGATGACACTACAGAACAGAAACATGTTATACTAGTGGGTGCTTTGAACACCTAATTTTCTAAGGTAGTTAAAAGGAACAGGAAAGCAAAAGCACCTACTGATGTTCTCAGCTCCAGACAAGATGTCCTTCTGTAAGAAATGCTTTAAGCAAATTACAGCTAATTACATTTAATTGCTTATATGTATACTTTATGATGTAACGATCCCTTGTTGTTAAATACTGTGCATCTCTAAATAGCAGGAGGGACTGTAAAGTCCTTGAAAACCAAGTTGGAATAAGTAGCTAAGAACAGAGGAAGAGGGAGAAGGAGAAAACAGAGAGGAGAGACTAGTTGAAGGACACAATATACTAAAGTTGACGGCACATGCATGAACAATAGAAAATGAAAAGGGGAGAAAAAAGAGGAGCTACAACATTAAACAGAGAAAAGGAAGTGACCTGGGGAAAAAATGAATATTTTAGATAAGGTTGGAGAAAAGAGAGAAATAAACAGAAAAAAAAGAAAAGTTAGACAAATCACACACAGATTTTAGATTGAGGAATTAAATGCAATGCATTATGTGTGTATTTTCTGCCAGTTCCCTGGAAGACATTCTATATTTTCCAAGTATGAGGGGAAATAAACCCTGCAGTATTTTCTCACTCCTAATTACAGGAGGTTTGTGGCTAGACAAAAGATCATATATATTACATAACTCACAGAACAGCCACTTGAAAAGTTATACTACCACTATTTTTCAAATTACCCCTACAGCAGAGAGTAAAGAGATCAAGTAATTGCAGGCTAATATGCATTCAGCAAATTATGAGCTAATTATTGAGCTTCTTATGCTTTAGCTGAAACCATTCATAAAACTATTCAGCTAATAATTCCTTATCTGATAGTTATTTGAATTGTGAACTGAAAAAAAAATTTCTAATAAAATACATACAGCACCCTTACTGCTGTGCATATTGATCTTCTCATGTGCAAAACAGATGTAACTCAAGAAGAACAGGTACAAAAATGCAAGAAAGGAAATAACTGGATTCACCATTTGCAACCTATTTGTTGTCACTTACATAGTTACACCAGCGGCACAACACAAACTTTACATTTGCTGCTTGAAAAATATAGAGGGTGTACAGGTCCCTGCTTGCCAAGAGCATCAGTCAGTCAAGGATGGGATAGTACCTTGTGCAACTGGTGGGACCAGTCATAATACTGCCAGTCTACAGAAAGCAAACTTCAAACTGATTGTTAAATGCCCAAAGTTCACAAATATTTGAGTATTTGTGTAAAAGGTTAAGTTTCTATGAGTATTCCGTCCAGTCATTAAAGCCAAAATTTTATATTCGGCAAAATGAAATGCAATAGGATGACAAATTATTTAAAATTAAATCTAGATTTTAATATGAATATTTATGAGAAGATATGATATTGGATATCAATTTCCTAATTCTCCCAGTATAGTTTTTTTTGTTTAGATGGTCTCAGAATTCTAATCTCAGAGACCTCCTTGCCATGTGTGAACCACTGCCTTCCTTCTTTTTCATATTCTTTGAAGATAAGCATGCCTTTAGAAAATGTTTTTGTTTTTAATCTGTAAGTCCAAACTGTAGTTTGCTATAGCATGTTCAGAGTATTTATACATACATTTCTGTTAAGGTGGTGTAGTGAGAGCCTCTCCACAGTACACACCTGTCACTATGCTGCACATGGTATGGCTATAGATATCAAAGCAAAGGTTTCTACTCTGTTTACTGCAGGAATGAGGGCACACCAGGCTCTGACACCTTCCAGTGATGTTCTGTAACACCTTCCAGTGATGTTCAGTGTTTTCTGAAGGTTTTGTGAGGGGCTTACAGCTTGGATGGACTTGCCTTCATGCCTTCTTCCTTCCTCCAACACCAAGACTACAGGGGATTCAATTCACAAGTCTTCCACGCAGCTGACAAGCACTCTTCCAAACCAAAAAAGGGGTGTGATGCAAGAAATCAGAAGAAATGCTTCGTGTGTGAATCCCATATTAGTGTATTGGTTAAAGAAGGAGTGAGGAAGCATTTTAATAGCTAAATTTTACTGATCTCTGTAGCCTAGGTCCTATAGCCCTTAACTAAGGTTTTTTCTATTGGAAACTCTTCATTCCTTCCATCTCAGAAATTCAAAATCCAATACTTCCCAGTACACTCAAAGCATCCTAATCCAGAGTTCTTAACTACTCCTTTACTTAAACCTTTATTATCTCCAATCCTTCAAGCCCATGCCAAAATTCTGTACTCTACCCTATTACCTCTCTACCATCCCACCCTAATCCTGCCACAACCTAATCCTCCAACCTACAGCCTTCTTATTTCCCCTTCTTTCCTTCCCTTGCCAAAGCTCACACATCTTTTCATTTCAGAGCCACATACTTACAAACTGAATCCTCCTGGTCTCTTGAGGGCATCTCTTTCCCCAAGCCTTTCACCTTCTTGTGCCTGCTGGTGCCCTTTCATACTCCACACTGCTGTCATCAGCTAAAATCACCACCCCATTTGCCTTTCTCTGAAAACTTTAATCTTGGCTCACATCTTGGGAAGTTGTTAAGAATAGAGGTGGCATCTGCGCATATCCAAAAGTATCTGCCAGGATTCAAGGGGGTAGAAAATGAGGGCATGTCTGAGGAAGAAAATAATACTTGCAGGACAGTTAAATGACACAGGTCCTTACAATTTCTAATCTACTTCAGTGACTTCTTAGTCTGACATTTTTTTAAAGTAGCTGAACAACCTTTCTTAACCATTTTTCTCTTCAACTGAAGAAGACTATTTCACCAGTGGATACCATGATATATCCATGTAGCACTGTAATTCCAAACAGGAAGGTGCTATTACTTTAGGGAAGTAAAATAAGCAGTTTAGAAACTAATGCCTGTCTCTTTCAGGTACAGAGCAGTTGCCTCCTGGAGCCGTGTTCAGGGAATTGGAATCCCTATGATCACTGCTATCGAAATTTTCTCCATTTGGCTTCTGTCCTTCATACTGGCTATCCCAGAAGCAATTGGTTTTGCTGTGGTACCTTTCAGATACAAGGATGAAAGTTATGTTACCTGCATGCTCAAGCCTACAAATAATTTTATGTTGGTAAGTAACATCCTTTCTTCTCTTTCTGGAATCCACAGTATATATAGGTCAGACAATTAAGATATTGGATTATAATAGGTTTTATTAATGTATTAAAGTGCAAAATGTATTCTAATGCGTATTGGTGCAAAGAGGATCCTATGTTTACAGTGACTTGTCTCTACTTTTAGCCAGAGAGACTAACTGGGACTTTGCAACATTTTCATTTCTTCACTACCAAGGATTCTTAATACAGACGTTTGCAATTAAGGCCTGCTTAAAGTACAATCAGGGGAGGCATCAGGGTAGCCAGAGCCTTGGAAGGTTTTGAGTTTCCAGGTACAACCCCTTGGAGCTTGTAACTGTCAAAACACATGTTTTACCATGATTAGTCATCGTTTTACAGGCAGTAGCCAGTTCTTTTGGCACATAATGAAAAGGGTGGGGCCATGCTGTACTCACTAACAGAGTCAAATAAAACATAATCCTTTCATTTACAAGGAATCATGACTATAAAGCTGACAGACCCACACCTCCAGCTTGAATAGCTTGTGCACTGTCAGCTGTCATCTACATACAGCATCTCAAGAGCAAGAGAAGTGCCTGAGACACACCAGGATGCTTTGGCACATTTCATAGCCCTCATCCTCTATACTCCTGCAGCTTAACAGTTGCCAATACCCACATTAGCTTGTTCAAAGCAAGTCAGGTGAGAAGTCACTTCTAGAATTAATAGATTACTGCATAAGGGGATAATGATTTTCTACCTTACACTGAGAAAATATCTTAATATTTTCTTTGTGAACCCACAAAGGAGCCAGGCATCATTCACCCAGTAATAAAAAAAAAGGGAGTAATATTCTGATTTGTTACAGAGAAGGCAGATAGTACCAGGTCTTAAGTCTTGAGACAAACTGTATTTTTTTCTGGACTAGATTTTTTCATGATAGAGTGCAAGTTTCTCTTTTTTGAACGTCTGGCACTTCTCCTTTTAGTGGATCAGAACATGGCTTGGCCTAGAATTGGGAAGGATAGGGTAAAATAGAGCTAGGTATTTTGGAAGATAAAAAGTGAGGATGATTAGTGTTTTTGAGAGGAACATCCTCCACTTTGGTGGGGTTACACAGACTGCAGGAGTGGCAGAAAAAACAAGAGACAATTGCAAGAGAAGACAAAAGAAATTCCCTAATGGAAATAATTAATGCAGGTGAAGATGGAATTGCCCAGGACTTACTATATCTTTGTTTCTAAACTCCACACACTATATGACTGTATATAGCGTAGTTATTAGACTCTGATTTATGAAATGCGCACTGCAGCAAATTTCCATTTTTGTAATGGCTGTTTTTCTCCACAAATGCACCTGGATTAAATGGTTTAATCTTCACTTCCACTCTTCTTAAGAAAAAGAACAGTTTTCTCTTCCCTCCCCACTATAGTTCAGGTCTTCCACAGGTATTCTAACTTAATGGCCTGAATGTTGGAAGCTGAATAGCATGGTGTGTTTCATTAGTAGCAATTAGTATCTTTTACTTGTCCAGTGTAACTCAAAAGTCCCAAATCTCCCCACACCAGTTTGATTTTCAAGAAAACAAACCAGTAGTTGTGTCCAGGCTGAGAGTAAATGTTGGATGTGTCAGTCAAAATGGAGAGCTTTGTGTTTCAAAGTTTTGCAAACAAGTACAAACATGAGATTAAAATGGGAATACCATTTTAACCTTAACTATAGTATTTACTACCACAAACACCACAACAAACAGTTACTAAACTTTGGGAAGGATTTATTATTAACTTTTGTTTTTAATAGGAGTTTCATTTCTGCTTAAAACTATCCTTGAAAGACTCAAAAGATTCATGCTAGACCATGATTCCCAAGAGGCTGAGTGCACTAGGAAACTTGTTTAAAATGCACATTTCCTGTAGAAAACCAGTTCCATGTGGGCTTTCAAGACAAACAAAAGAATGTCTACTTCTCTTAAATCAACCCATTTTTGTGCTTTGATGTAAGCTTTGTGAAACTCAGATTCCACAATTAATCATTTACAGACATTTTTGAGGATGTTTTATAACTTCACAAAGCCAGGTCCTCACACAGAATTGATGGTCAGGGTTGTGACACAGACCTCAGTGTGTGTTTTCCTGACAGACAGGCAACGCTCATGAAACCTGGCAGACTGATGGGACAGGAAGTTTTCCTTGTAAACATGGCATGGATTCATGCAGCACACATTTTGTGCTGCCCAGCTAATACGATTCTAGTCTGAGTCGGAAGAATTTGCCACGGAAAATATAATTGTCTCCATGTATTTGTAATCCTTTTCTCTGCAGAAGGAGCAGCAATTACATTTGCCCTCAGTACAAACTCTTCAAATACAAGGTATATCGTTTTCCAGTTTTCTGTTGGCAGAAGATCCGTTCCCAGTAGGGGAAATTCTGCCCCCAAGGAAAGTGCAACTATGCAGCAGACTGTAGCCCCTCCTCATGGAGGAGGCTAATGAGGAGGAGGAAACAAGTTAATCACACGAGGCAGTGTCCCAAAGTGAGGTGGGATTGTGGCCTAAATACCAACAGCATAATCTAAATTAGCAAATTCTGTATGCAGCTGTGTTGGGGTAGAAGGAGAAAAATCAAAAGCATTCCCTATTTCTAAGTAAATCAACTTTCTAGTATAACTCAAGTGGATTTTAAAATGAACATTATTTCATACTGTTGTATGAATCACATTGATTTTTTTCATCTTTCAAAGTTCAGTACTGTTTGGTTCTAACTGCAAACAAGATGTCAAAATTTGGCTTTTACAAACAGGATTCATAAAATTCTCAGTCATTAGCATTTTGACATTTGGTGTGGGAACTGTGATGTTACCAGAGCACATCCGCTAGGAATAAACAAGATAGGGGAAAGAGTATTACACATCCCTTTTACACTAATAACACAGACAGGAAGTGTTTAAAATGCCATATTTTAGTGCAAACTGTTGACCGAGCACAAAAGTTAAAAACCAAGATACGATATTTTTGAAAGTCTGAAAACATGATCGTCTACAGAAAACAGTGATTTCGTATGTTTGGTCAAATGTAGTATTTCCCACAATATGTAAATATATTAAGTTACAGCACTGCTGATGTCACAGCTAATACTTAAAATTACACATCAAAGTACTGCTATTCTGCCGAGTACCACTCTATATCAGATGGTATGAATGGCAGGTAAAGGGTTAAAAGTAACTGTACCACCAGAAGCCACCCGCCCCAAGCTTTGCATATATCAGAGGAGCACTTATGAAGTGGCTCCTATCTGCCCACTACATAAGCAAACCAACTGCCAACCTTTTCACTGATAACAAAAGGTGATTAAACTTACAAGACATTTTGGATTTTCCTTTTTTGGAATCAGGAGAGAAGCTGTAGAGGTAAATGGCATTTCCTGAGACAGGCTTTTAGTAAGGTTTGTTATCTCAAACTGACACTGTCTACATTTTGGCATGTCTTTTTCATGAAACTGGATTCCAGTTTTCATGAAGGAGCGTAAATATTCAGAAAGCACAACCAACAAAAATTAATTCCAACCCCAGACAGACTGCAACAAAGGTACAAGCAGGCTATCTGTAAGTTAAAGTAAATGTTTATAGTGCCACAATCACCATTTTGATGTTGGTCTAAAACAGATCAACAATAAGAAAACAGACAGATAAAAGTGCACTGTCATGCTTTCCAGGACCTTTCTGTGGTATTTGGAATCGAATCATAAGAAAATATCTTCTCTTTTCTTTACTTTATCTACAGTTTTACAAAGATGCAAAGGATTGGTGGCTGTTTGGTTTCTATTTCTGCATGCCACTGATGTGTACTGCCATCTTTTACACTTTAATGACTTGTGAAATGTTAAACAGAAGAAATAGCAACTTGAGAATTGCTCTCAGTGAACACCTTAAACAGGTAAATATTAGAAACACCGTTGTTTGAACATACTGTTCTTCTCTCTGTGGGTTAGCCTAGAAATGTTTCAAAGTGTACTTGAATACAGCAAACTACAGAAGTGGAAAGTGAGGATGTAGGTTGTTTATGATGTTAAATATCCATTTAAACCTGGAACAAAAGACTAAATCGCAGTATAAGGAGGGGTTGGAGACAGTATGCTCAGAAAACTAGCCAGTTTCTTTCTTTTTCTATGTATGACAGTCGTGCTCTTTAACCTCAAATCCCTACTGGCTAAATGCTTTGAAATTTAACTACAAAGATTTGCCAAAAAATGTTTCTTTTTATTTATAAAGATATGACTCCATGGAACCTCCCTCCTTTTGGCAGTCTTTGATATGTAACTTTAGTTTCATATAAAAAGCAATAACCTAGTTTAGAACAGAGTGGATTTTGTTTTTCAGGGTTATTGCACTGCTGCAGTAGCACTGCTGTAGCTGCTTTGAAAAGAGCAGCGGGAGAATTGCACAAACAAATGATCACAGAACAAAGTCGCTCACAGACCCGTCAGGTCTCACTTTGCTGTTTTTGCAGCACTGTCTGATGTTTAGTGCCTAACTAAAATTTAAAAAGCAATCCGTAGCTTTTCCCCTGCGATAACATCAGCCCTTTAGATCCCGCTTTTTCTTTCAAATGCCATATTCACAGATGTGTCCTCTCCGCATCAGGGTGAGTTCTCTCAGAGGTTCCTCCTCTGCTGGTTCATTCCAGACCAGGGCTGACCGGAAAATCCTCCCCTTGTGCTGTTCCTCCACTTTTTCCCCTCATCAGGCCCCAGGGCCCAGAGCACAGTCTGTCCCAGGGCCACACACGAGCTACTCCACCCATTAGAACTAGAATAGTCTGCATGCGGTGGGGAAATCCACCCTCCAGCTTTCCCAGTGACCCAGTAAGTCACTCAGACTGGGTGCTGGAGATGACTCTATGCCACAATTTACAAATGCTTTTTAACTATCACCTTTTGCCCCTCTTTCTTTCTTCCTTCCTTCCTTCCTTCCTTCCTTCCTTCTTTCCTTCCTTCCCTCCAGCCTTGTCCACAGTAATGTCTAGTCACAATACTTTTCATATTTTGATAAAAACTGCTTTTATAAAAAAGAGGAAACTATAATAGTCATATTCAAAGCCTAACAAGACTGTAACCACACATATAACTTTAAGTTTTTTAATGACAGAGTCTTGCAGTGCTTTACTGTTACATTACAGTGGCAATTTCAGAAGTAGTATCCTTATTCCTTCATATACTTCTCTTTATTAAACCCATGCCTACCAAACACCACTGGTATGCATTGTCAAGAGTCCACTAAAACATCTGTAACTCTCTAGAGCCACATAAAATACCCATTAAATTGAAATTAGTTCCTGACTAAGTATCACAAGATTAAGCTGTAATACAGACATTTCTAAAATGTTGTTTGTAGAGGAACTATTTGCTTGAGAACCTCAAGATCACACAGTAAGGAACACAAAATTAATACACTTTGTAGTATCCCTTTATGTAACACTATATATATTAAATAAAAAAGAATATATCAGTAGAATTTGGCATCCTGACTAGGTATGTGGTTGAATGGAACTTTTGTTGCAAGTTGATTTAGGTGCCTCAGGTTTATGGATTGCCCCACATCAAGGATTAGGTACAAGTCATTTATCAAGCAGGTGTGAACTCTATAGCCTCACACGTGAAAAGGTTTTCTTGCAGGTTATGTATCTTTTTGACAAAAGAGGTTTATCTGAGGGATTACCAGAAAAAACTAATCCAGTGTAAAGGAATAAGAAATGCTGGGAAAGTAATCAGGTTCAGGAAAGACCAGCAGTGGATTTTCCTGGGCTAACTTCTACAATGTTTTGGCAATGACCTATGTGCTCCAGCTGCTCCAGTGATGAGCAGGCTGTGTTGAGGATGCCCAGAATCAAGAACAGGACAAGTCCTATAAAAAAGAACTCAGAGATATCAGGTAGTCTGATATCTGGAAGCTTCATTTTGGGAATCTTGCATGCTTTATCAAGATGAGTCTGTTTGCTGCCAACGTTACTATGCTACAATCCCTTGCCAATGTCAATTAGGCACTCAGTGTACACTGTTATCTTCTTTTTCTAGCGGCGAGAAGTTGCAAAGACAGTTTTCTGTTTGGTCGTGATTTTTGCTCTTTGCTGGTTCCCTCTCCATTTGAGCCGAATTTTGAAGAAAATGGTATACAACGAAAAAGACCCCAGCAGATGTGAACTGCTCAGGTACTTGATTTTCTGTGTCAACAGTCAATACTGAAAAAAATATAATGCTGCCTACTTGGAATTTATACGAGTAATGTCACTGTGCTTGCAACCGTGGTTTTGATTTTCAGCTGCAGCCATTTTCAGCAGTTTCAGTTGTAATGGGGTAGCATAATTTCAATAAATGTTGTCTGCCACCACTTCAATCACTTTCCTCTGGCTTCTCTGAAGTTCTGTGAGAAAGATTATTATAGATGTGGCATGGTACAAGATTAGATTGAGGGAGTTAGGTAAGAGAGAATTAGTTTCTGTGACAGAAGAGACTGTAACCACAAAGAACACTGCTGCTTCTGTAGCATATGAACTGTTTAAATGTTTTGCTTTCTCTTGCCTAGTTTCTTGTTGCCCTTGGATTATATCAGCATCAACCTGGCAACCATGAACTCTTGTATAAACCCCATAGCTCTGTATTTTGTGAGCAAGAAGTTTAAAAACTGTTTCCAGGTAAGATCTTCTTGATAAGATTTCATGTCCAGTTAACTAACTGTATTAAACCACTTAGTTGTTATCTATTTCTAACAGCTGGGAGAAGAGGCATGCAAAGGAATGAAAGATTATAAATTGTCCAGTTCAGCAGCTCACATAGCACACATACCAAACTGAAAGAGGAACTATCCACTTATGTGAAATGCTAAACCAATAAATAAGTTTGAGATAGTCCTCATACGCAAACATGTAAACTGAGATAGACACTGCAGTGTGACATGTTACATGGAATAGAATTTGCTTGATAACATATTTTCCACTCTCGATGACACCAAGATGCCTGCATTAAACAATCCCATTAATAACTAAAATTTTCAGCCTTGAATGCCAGGTACCAAACCTGGTACCTGGGTTGACTTTGGCAATTAAATATACATTATGTCTTCTACTTGCATTTTTCCAGTTCCTACACATGCAAATATATTTTAAGGCTAAAACAATTTCTTTGTGACAATGTGCCTCTGCAAGTCCCTGTCCCCCTAGAAAAGGCAATACAGGAAGAAAAAAAATGAGAGGTAAAGACAAGAATGAAACAGAAAAGGAAGACTGAAATAACTACCCACAAAGAAAAACAAAAGATGACAGGACTGTAGCACTAAACTTTAAGTCTGAGAATAGGTAGAACCCAAGCTACTGAAAAAACATAATGAATTTCTAGACTAGGCAATACCTGTTATCTATAGGCTGCTCAGATTTACAAACTATTTTAAGGGAGTATTTTTACACGATAAATAAGAAGTCAGCTTTGCTTTTTACTGTCCCCTACTTCATTTGGGAACTGTGGAGAGGATAATAGGCCTGAACTTGTCCTCAGGTGAAAGGGAGAAGTAACAGAGGGTAATATCAGACTGCTCTTGATGATGTTAATTCATTCTTCCTATTTGTCCTTCCAAATATAACTGCCACCCAAAAACTCTAATTAAAGAATTTTCATCAATTTTTTTAATCCTTCCCAGCTTCTCATTACAGCTTTCCCTTTGCCTCCTAGTATCAAGGTCATTAATTCAGTTTTGGATTTGTGTTTCTCACCCTGCCTCTGTTGCTGTTTTACATACCCACCCATAGATAGATAGTACCTATATCTTAAGTCTGGCTTTACCTCTCTGCAACACCCCCTTCTCGTTGAGTTCACAGAAGCCATGGATCTACTGCTGTTATTGGCATTGTTCCTCTGAGGCCCTGACTCCTTCCCCTCAAGCAGAGATTCTATCTACATAGAATTAGGCCCCAGTTTTTGTGAAGGGATGGGAGGATAGCTGACGAATCCTTTCTGCTCCTTTCAGAAGACACAACTGAACACAGCAACCTGTGAACAAGCTGGGAGTATGGTCCTGAATGGCCTTCTGTTCTTAACTGTGCAAAATGATACATCTCAGTATGCTCACTGTCCCTTCTCCTAAACAATTCTATCTTCTTCTAAGATGTCAGAAGAGACCCAAGTCACAGGCTGGGGAATTTTCTTTCTCTTCTCCTACATGCTAAGCAGCATGCTGATCCCCAAGCTTGAAGTACAGCGATAAAGAGGGGGGAAAATCATCAAGCCAACCCTTAACAATATTCATTGAATTCTGTCAATTCAATAGTTCCCAATCTATTTACCTTAGTCTAAGAAATTTCCATTTTCATACTGTAAAAGTTTTTCTTAAATAAGAGGCACAGGCTGGGCCTAATTTGCTGCATTTGTGATGTTTAAACACAAGAATTGTTTGCATCCTAGGATAAAAATTTCTCTGAACGCAGCTACCACTCTCTTCAGTTAGAATTGTCTTTTCATTTCTAAAGGAAAAATATGGCTGGCTATCTGCATAGAACTGATAGATTTGTCTTAAACTTTTATTTATTTATTTATTTTAAATTAACTTCCAGTCATGTCTTTGCTGTTGCTGCTCCCAATCTAAGAGTCTGGTGACTTCAGTGCCTATGAATGGAACAAGCATTCAATGGAAAAATCAAGAATTAAACAATCACAATACAGATCGAAGCAGCCATAAAGACAGCATAAACTGAAAGCTAAGGACTCTCATACCATTCTGGAATGAAACAGGAAAAAAAAAAGTCACTACGAAGCTATTGCAACAGGAAGCCCAGTGACTGTTCCATAATAATTCAGACATGTGCACCATTGTACCTAATTCTAGAGGTGACTGAGCAGATGGACTGACTATAACTGTGATGTTCTGTGAACTGAGATCCACTGGATGATGATTTTGCCTTTGGAAACGATATTGATGTGATTATGACACCAAAAAACTGGCTTGAACTGCACAGGTGGTTTGCTCTTCTGAACCAGGCAGGAACTGTCCAGTGCCTGTGACTGGTACAATACAATCAATTTGCCTGATTGTCACCTAGAATTCATCACTCTGGAATTTTTCAGAAGATATCAAAATGGAATCTGTCTGTGACTATATTTTCCCTCTGCCCATTTGTCTTTTAACTTTTATTTGTGTGGTGGATATATTCCATGCACCAGTATGGAAAAAAAAAACCCAGTATGTTTTGCATGTTGTTGTTGTTGCTGTTTTTCAGGTGTATGTTGTAAAATGTTTTAGTCCACACCAGCATTTTATTTACTTATGTTACATGGGTCAGGACATTACCTGGGCAGTTCACATTTGTAGCACTTCAGTATTCAAATATAGGAAGATACCATTTAAATAGCATCAACATTTGGCACTTAAGCACAGATTAATACCAAAAAAAAGGTATTAATAATACAGTATATACTGTGTTATTTATTCTAATGCTCTGTACAAAATAAACATAATCTGTATCAGCAAAAACAATGAAAGATGCTCGCAGAGGGGCACCTTACAATGTGTTTTTAATTAACCTGCCATGTTAATTCTTAAACTATATGAACCTTTTAATCTATTTAGACTATAGCTGCGTTAAATCTAAGTTCAAATGAGGGTCAGTGGAACAGAGTGAAGCATTATTAAAGCTGTCCAAAGAGTTCTGAGAATACAGTTATTATCTGAGAACCTATGCACAACACTACTTACATATTGTGGACATGAGGTTATAGTCTTAGTGAATGTAGAACTGTGGAAGTCCATAAGAGTTGGATGTGCAGAAGGATACTTTGTGCCTTATTGCTTACAGAGTTCTTTGTCTACACAATGTTCAAAGATTTTAAGGGGGTTTAATAGGTTATCAGCATTGTTAACCATACAAATGCTATTAATAATATATAGAAACTATTGCTTGCATACACGTAAACTGATGATTTCCTTAGTACTTCCATCCATTAAGACTACATGGCAAGAGATTCCTTGTTTGGCTATAAAAATTTTTAATAGGTAACCTTTCACTAAAGAGTGGAATTAAGTAGCATGATGTCATATATAATATGTCTCATGCACAAATCTGCTAGGCAGTTTACAGCATCCTTTGTGCTAGGCTAAGAAGCAGTAATCAAAATTCCACAAATTCTTAAACATCCATTTCATTTCAAGGGAAAGACATAATCCTGCATATTTTTATTTAAAAGGTCAAAATGCTAGCACCTACAGTGGATTCTGCTGTACAAGTTCCCCCAATGTTTACATTCACACAAATTTTCAAAGTATATTTAAAAAAAGTTTCTTTAAATTGGTTTATGTATTTTTGTGTGCTTTTGTCTCTGTGACATATATGCGTGTATAAATACATATAAATCTATGTTCATATGTTATAAACCTAAATACAGTCTTCTGACAGTGCTCTGTGGTAGTGCCTAAGAGCATGGTATGGAATGAGACTTGGCTGAATTTTACTCAAAACACTTCATCCTCAAACTGTATCAAAAAATCATAGTAAATGAGTAAAAAAGATTGAGTTACTGAGTGTCTTTACACCCTGAAACCTTCCCTGCTTCTTTGACAGAACATATTGAGGAGATGATAAAAGCTAAATAGAAAACAGACATGAGGAATGGATTTAAGTCGTAAATTGCCCCTTCTTTATTTCAAGGCAGGAAGAAGTTCTGTGCCCATTCCCCTTTTCTGCTATCTATCTGATGGGTGGATAAAGCAAAAAAATCATACACCAGCAAACCAATCATGTGATTGCTCAGAGACAATATTTCTACCTGTCTATGGAGGACAGTGAGCAGTAGAGACAACCTAGGTCAGAAACTTCAGGGCTCTTCTACAAAAAAAAAAAAATCCCACCTACCTGAAAGTTTCAGACCCTGAAATGGACCATTTTTATGCTTTACCTGCACTGATGCAAACCTTGAGTCAAGAAAATCAGTTTTCCTTCCAGCATTAACACTTCCAACATCTATTGCTTTCAACCCAATAGTTGGCTCTCTCATGTAGCAAAGATACGTGTATGTGCACACACAAAGCATACTTCAAACCAGTTCAGCCTAGATGGAAAAACCATCTTCCTACTCCCCAGAGAGCTGACTGGCCTTAGCAGCAGCACTGTAAAATACAAAAACTTTTTTAAAGGAAAGAAGAGGATAAAGAGAATAGATACATACTGTGAGAGGCATTTTATAGAATCCTTTAGAATTATTTTTTTAAGCTTACTTATGGATCAAAGCCTGCAAAAAACAATTAGTGATCCTCGTTTCACCTCCTCCAGACTGTGAAAGGACAGAAACAGTCTAAAAAGCAGTAACAAGTGAGGTCCTGGGAGGTGTCATACTCTTTTTTGCCATGTTTGCTCTTGTATGTTCTGTGGTGGCTGCTGCTCCCACTCACTAACCAGTCGTAAGGACAAAGGGTGTTATGATGTGGCAGCTCTGGTGAGGGGGGAACTGTTTCTCCAAAACTTGCTAAGGTACTTACTTCCTTAATTCTCTCTTCTTCTTTCCACTCAGAATACTAAATATTCCTCCTGGTATTGCGAAAAAGCTGCCTTTCCAAAAGAACCAGCGGTCTCCCACAATACTGAAATTAAACCTTTTTGAATTTTAACCTTTCCTTTTGTTGCCAATTTCTGCAAAAGGTGTTCTGGCTCTTCTCTTTGTGCATCAAACCCAATGTAGATTTAGTTGGGATTTTCCTCTGTTGTTCACAGAAGCTGCTTTCTCTTTTACATCAGAACAGCTTTCCACAGCAAGTATCCTTCCATCCTGCTCTTACTTTTATAGATGTTTTTATGACTGCTGTTTGAATTCCTCTCAGCTAAACCAAGTTCAGTTTCTCTCTGCAGCTGACAGATTAACTTATAAGCTTTTTTGTAACATCTGTTCCTTGTAATCAAAATCCATTTAACTATCATATTCGTCTTTTTTTGTGGACTTCAGAATTTACAACTCTTTTCAGTCCAATCAGTGTAAGATTTCATTGGCAGTCTCACATCCTAACTTCAAACACTTTGCAGAGTTTTCTTTAATTTCAGAATACAGCTATTCTCCTCATTTTCATTGTGCATTTTTTTTCAAGCCACCTCAGTAAACATTTCCTCTTTGATATATTTGATACCTATTTGCCTCAAAGATAGAGTATACATAGGTTTTCACTTCTATATATGTTTGTATCTATTTATTTACACAGGAAACTGTGCTTCAAACCTGACCTAGCCAGCTCCTGTGCTTTGGAAAAAAGTGCTTATGTAGTTCATCATAAATCTCGCCTGACAGAACTATTAGCTCAGTTCTGTGAAAAGATACTTACGCAACCTTCATATCTGAATATATTTCAGGTGTTTCCTTGTCTTTCCGTGCATCCTTCAAAAACAACTATGGACCCCCTATCCCATTTCAATACATTTTACAGAACACTTACCATCACTATGAAGCTACAGAGAATTTCACCAAAACTGCAGGATGGGTGCAAGAACAAAATTCTACTTGTGCTGTATGTAGAAAATTTCTGAAATGTAGTTTATACCTACTGAATAAATTTGCTTGATAGAAAGATGTTATGAACATTACAGACACAGAAAAAGCCTTGATCAGAGCCTGCAACCTGTAAGACATCTGAGAATCAAACTTCAACACACAAATCCTTGGAAGCCAGTATTTGTAAGTTCTGTTGCTTGTAGAATTACTTACTTTTAGTTATTTTTTCTGTTTCTCTTTCATCGTTTACATATTCACTGCAATCTTGTTACTGTATCATTTGATTCTGTGAAACCTTATGGGTTTCAGTTTGTGAGAAGACATGGTACAAATTCAAATTCTGCTGCACTTTTATGAACAGATTTCTGCTCAAATGTCCCCGAGGCAAAGCACGTGCTTTCATTAGAAGAAACACTGGGACTGCCTGCTAACGTTCCCTTGCAGAGTTTCTTCCAGACAATCAGTTGTGGTTCAGCAAAGTATTCCTAATTCACGCTCCTCACTCTTTCAGAGACTAAATAAAGGCAATTATCTCCAAAATCAGAGTAAAAGAAGACACATAAAAAGTGTATAGACCAGAAACAGCTCTCGAGTTGCACAGGGAAATAAAAAAAAAAAACAACCAAAACCAGGCATGTTTAAAATGTGGCTCTAAAAGAAACACATCTTATCATTAGTCCAAGTGTGGGAAAGGAAGATAAGAACTAAATAAAAAAATGTAGGTCATCTCCAGTTTCTTTAAAGGAAGGCAAAATTAATTGACCTCTGGTATCTCATCTAGAATCAGCTTTTTCCCTGTTCAGAAACCACTGCCTCTGTCACAGTTTTTAGTCCTATTAGTACAGTAGCTTATTATTACAATAATAAAGCTCAACATAATAAGTGTTACAACTGATAAGAAAAAAGAACTTCATCTGTAGTTCAGCATCACTCTGCCCACATTTCTCAGAGTAACTGAGTGTCTGCAAACTCCTCTGAAACCAATGACTTGGAAATAACTTGGTGCATCTCAGAATAAGGTTTTTACTTTAATCTCACACTGCCTTAGTCTTTGAGACTCAAAAGACTGAATATGCAAGTTACTGAATCAAGCATCCAAAACAATTAATGAGAAGCATTTCTAAGCCATCCAAGAGAACATGCATTCTACTATATATTTTTAACTGAGGGGAGGATTAGAAATCCATCATTACTAGACACCACTGTGCCATCCTGTAGCCACACTTCATATTTATTGAACTGTCTGTGTCTAAAATTTTTTTTGTCTTTTTCCTCTAAAATTGTTGTACAGTGGTCTCCCTGGTATTGACTCAGAATAAAGTATACATTTAGATTAATTTTTTTTCAAATATCTACCCAGTATGAATAAAGCATTCATCTCCAGATACATGGTATATTCCAATACAGAAGCACAATTAAACCACACTACTAGAAAAGTAGTTTTAAACAGAAAATTAACATACTACTCTTGGGACAAATGAACACTGCAGTTCAGTACTACTGGTGGAAAATACATTGATTTTTTAGCAGAAAAAGTAGAAACTACATCACTTTTGCTAATTCAAAAAAGAGTAGGTGTTTACATGAATAATGAGGAAGTCCACATTTCACAAGCTGGAATAAAATACTGCAAGGACTATAAATCTTTATGCTCCAGAATGTAAAATAGGTTTAAATTCTGGGGATTAGGAAGACGTATCTCTCCGATGCAAGATTCTTTGGTTTCCCTACAATGTTTCTCTAAAGTATTAATTTCAAGACAGATCTCAAACTCAGATATAGTTGTGAAGAAAGGGAGATGCTTGTTGATTGTTAACTAACATTGCCTTCTTACCCTGTAGAAAAGTCTTTGGCTAACATTTTTCATAATATCCAGCATCTTTTGGCTTTCCTGTACCACAAATGAACTGCAACAACTGCAGTACCAAGGACTACTCCAAATTCCAGGAATACAATGTTGAATTATTTCCTTTCCATGATCATTTGTATATATGAGAATCTGCTTGCACAGAACTTTAAGCAGTGGTTGTTCTTCCATATAAAGTTCATTAATATAAAAAAAAAAACCAGGAAACTGATCTTCCATTTACTTTAAAAATGTGAACTGTTTAGAGATAAAACAGAAAGAAAAATGTAATTGAACTATGAGCACTTCCATACCACATATGACTGTACACTGTGATAACCAAAGATGTGAATCAAATACCGAAATGTTTTCACATAAAAGTGCTTGTTAAGAAATAGAAAAGGATAAATACATTCAGAACAATCAAAGTTTGTTCAATATTCAATATTCTAGAGAAGAGACTAGTACAGTAATAAATTTGAAAATTGGTTAAATTTAATTGATGACAAATACAAGAATTTGGCCTGGACACCCAAAGTTGCTTAAGCTTATGTTTGAAATACCACTGGGATAAAGGCATGAGTTTGATCTACAAAGAAAATCATGGGCTACAACTTCAGTATAAAAAAGGAGTTAAAAAAAGATCATATTCACTTTTAAGACTGTCAAATTTTTCAGACTATAATTGGTCTTAAGTATGAACTGTATCTCTGACATGGGATACCCAACTAATTCATATTTCCAGCTAAGGACTTCCACATATTTTATCAATTTTGGTTTATTTTATTTTATATAATCTGCTTGGTAAGTATGAAAATGTCAAGACAGCCAGTCTAGTTTTACTTAACTGAGATTATAATTCACAAAAGAATTGAATGTATCTATACTGATTGAAATAAGAAAAAACCTAGGAAGGATGTAATTTTATTTGTCATCTGAAGGTATTACCTCAATTGAAGTTAAAACTAGACATTAAATTAATGTCAGGTTTCAAGTAGTAACTTGGGATAAAATGCTGAACCTACTGAAGTAAAAGATAAAGTTTCCACTTCATCACTTCAGTAGGACTGGGGTTTCAGTGGGACTGTCTGATGGAGCCCATTGGAATGGTACCCGTAGCAATGTGACCAAGCCCAGCATAGCTGAGCAGGAGAAAAGTAAAAGATTTTGTGTGGCTTGGA